GAAGTCGAGTCCGAGCTGACGGCACTTTTTCACCCGAGTTCACCACGGAAAGTGGTGTTCTACAGGGTTGCCCTCTCTCTCTCCATTTCTATGTAACTTCGTTATAGATTTAATTCTTGAAACAGCCCTATCCTCGTGCGGGGATAGTGGCATCGATTTATTCCCAGGTGACAGACTGTCTGATCTAGAGTATGCAGACGACATTGTGCTACTAAGTGAAGATCCAGGTGAGCTGCAAGCATTTCTGGATAGTTTGAGTGCTAGTGTAGCCATGTTCGGTATGTGTTTTGCACCTTCAAAGTGTAAAATGCTGCTCCAAGATTGGGTTGGCCCAGTCCCCAGCCTCACCCTAACCGGGGAAGTTGTAGAGAAAGTAGATAAATTTTGCTAGCCAAAGGCTCCGGTTATGGACTCCTCAAGATAATTGACCTGATTTGGCCTAAGAAAGCTGCCAGTATTCCGCCCATATTCAAATCATGGAACGTCTTTCTTTTTAACAAAGACTATTGTACCATGATTTGTTTGGCGCATAGTCTGTATTCAGACGTGTGTGGAATATACTATAATACGTATATACGTATAATACGGAGCTCTTTTCTCACCAAAGTGAGAGCACGAAAAGCTGACTTCCGGGGCTATAACCGGGTTGGTGGACCACTAGCAGTTCACCTAGGGGAGCTGGCTAAAATCCCTGATTCTGAACCAGTCAAGAAGCATATGAACCACACTCACCCACAGTTTCCTGGTCATAATAGTGGTTGCCGGATCGATTAAGCTTCGAGGTGTATTTAGCACGTCAAATGTTTGACCCCATCCAATGGGCGTATGCTCTGATGAACCGGAAACCGGCCCCCAATAGGTTGCTGTTTTCGCAAGCGCCCGCTGCTTTGAGGGTTAGGCTTTGGCCAACCGAAGACTGATTGTAAACCCCATAAGAAAATTCATCTGATTTGTCCTGGGAAACCTAGCAATATCGTGCCCTTGAGCAAATCATGGACCTTTTTATGTTTTATCATGAGCTCGTCAGTGGTGCTAATCCAGTGTTCTGTCGGGGCTTTGTGTTATCGCACACGCCTTCCATGCGATGGGTCTGGATTTCAAAGCCCGGGTGGGATGGTGGGTTGTCACTACTGGTGAGCTCTAATAAGGGCGAAACTCCAATCTAGTGCTTCCGAGTGTACCACTGACTGGAATAACTGAGGATTGCACGTGAAGGTGAAGTTTGAACCTTGATAAGTTCAAATCAAACAATACATTATTGGGTTGACAAAATTACATATATTGTTGGGTTCTTACTTGTTTCGAACTGTCACAGTTTTCATTAAGCCCATTATTGTTTCAAACGGTTGTGGGTTTTTCGGGATCTCGGCATAATATCACAGTTTATCGAAATTATTTTGCTTTTGTTTCTTAGGAACAAAGTGATGATTGTGAATAACTACGCCTTCCGATTCACGCAGTGTTCACTCACTTTATTCCAACCGGTTCGCCTGATTCGTCACAAGCCATGGGTGCCGAAATTTCGGTTGTTACGTGCGATGCAGCCGTTCAATGGACCTCCGGACATACAGTCCAGTAAACCTCCGTTAAACAATGCAGAAACTGCCTCAGAAATTCGTCAACGTTTACGAAAAAATGGTTTCCTTCCGCCGTTGCTATTTCAGGATCGACCGATAAATGTTGGACACACAGGTGATTGTTTAGACTCACTTTGAACAGTTTAAATACATGTGTGTTGGTTTTGCGTTTGCCTCGCCGAAAATCCTGACGTGATGGCATACTCTTCCAGGGTTTTTGTCTTTGTAAATAAACCATACATAACTACGAAAAGTGCAATCGTTGATATTCTACAATCACTATACCTTGTGTTCTACGAATAGCGAGCTTCAACAACTTTAAAGTCCTACTTACAATCACCTGCTTGACGGAACCGAAAGACACAAATGCTTATTCATGGCATTTCCCAAAATGGCTGAAAACACTTGGTTTTTGATTGCTGGTCTTAAACCCATTATGATGAGGTTCCACCCTAATAGGAATATGTTTTCACTCAGTGTGTGGTGAATCCCGGAAATCTATGATTATTAACATAAATTCCAACCCCGTAAAGGCGATAAATACTCATCAAACTGTTCAAATTATGAATAGTTTTAAATATCTGTTACTGTTGATCTCCCAGATATCTGTTATTATTAAAGGATCTGAAACAGATGTTTGCCTATCAGTCTGAGATGGTCGAGATGTGTGATGTGCATGCCGACTCGCTTTTTCAACAGTACAGCACTAGTTACCAAGGTGGGCAGTAACAAAATTCGCAACACGTGTTCAAACCATCGAAGCCTTTGGAGCAAAATGGCAGATCGACTAAAATGGTCTGAGGCGGCGAATCTCGTTGCTGGGTAATGAAAGCTGTGACTTTAGACCCGAAACTGAGCATTACAAATGTTAGTCTTAGTTATTGAACATTGTATCCTGCTGCTTTTTGAGCCTTTGTGGTAGATAAAAGTTTTTCTGTAGTCATCCAATGCGAGCCTGGCTCCTTACGCTTAATAACTCGTGCTACTTGAGATTAATCAACCCAAAGACAAACCAACTTTTTCTTTCTGTCGACTATACCAATATCGATATACACGAAAACTATGAACTATTCAGGAGAATAGACTAGTTCTGAGCCGGATGGGAACAAAATCAGATAGGATAATGCGACCGTCGTGCAATTGGGATGTGATAGGGGTCTTGGGGGGGGGAGTGTTCTTTCGTGTTTCGTATCGCTTAAGTCGACCGTTTTTGCTAACCCGACTTTGGGTTTTGGAATTTCCGGAAATCTGCTCACATTTCGCGACTTCTACCATTTTTGTTTTGTGCCGTTCTTCATGTCCGGCCGGACGATCTCCATACTCGTGCGATCTTGTTTCTCTTTCCAGGTCAGGTGGTCGATCCCTATGAGCCACCAGAGGGAGATGGTCGAAAGTCTGCCCTGTCATTTAGGGTAAGCAATTTTTCTCCCCTGAGGATAAGTTTGTCTGACATTCAATTTGTTTCGGTTAGCAATTGTCGTTGGAAAGCGCAAATCTGCTGAAGAAAGGGAAGTCCTACAAGGCAACACTCACAATTCGTCGTCACGAACCAACCTTCAGTCCAAATACCTTTGCAGTGGAAGCAGAATCAATTTACAAGGAGGCTCATGATCTACTTCAAAAGTGAGCTAGCTCATCTGTGCTACTGTCTTTTCAATATTACCCCAGTAGAATAAATTCCCACTCACAGATTGAGAAATCGAACTGTTTGTGTAGTGTATCTTACCGCTTACAGATTTCATGTCCTGTTGAATACCACCCATAATCTGGTGCATCAGTCGGGTCTTAGTTTGCCGGTTGCCATTGCTGAACAGCAGGTCTTCACGAATGTCGGGTTCACCCCGTCTGTTGTTCATCACACCGAATGTTTGTACAACAAGAAAATTATTTCGCTTTGTGAGTATTTCGATCGTTGTCTCCCTCGTTTCCTCGTTCTGCTGACGTATCACAGTTGTGTTGTATGAAATACATTGTTTGAACGCTCTCATTCCCCTGATGAGTATGTGAACATAAGTTTAAATAGTACCACTGCTCAGCATGTGCCTCACCGTGTTCGATCATATGGACGCATCACGGATGAAGTGTCAGCTCGCGTACAGAAAGCTCGATTGGCATTTGCCAATTTGAGACATCCGGCTCTCTGTGAAGGTTCGCCTCGCAGTTCGGCCAGTTCTGGTGTACAGAGCAGAAACCTAACCATTAAGAAAACAGGATAACGATAGACTGTCGGTGTTTGAACACCGCTGTCTACGCAGCATTGCACGAAGCTGGTAGGGTAGCTGTACGAGTGAGCAATGCTGAGGTTAGGCGCAGAGTTTTAGGTAATCGCGGTCGCTCACAGGAGCAAGTGGTCGGCCTCCATGGATCACGTTGGTTGGAGCATGTGTTTCGCTATATATATTTTTTATATCTTTACTTCCTTTTATTGAATACTTAATAATACCATTTTCAGGAGGGGGGAAGCGGCCGATCAAAGGGCTGCCATATAACACAAATGGTGAAAGTCAGGCGGTGGTTTTGGGATTCGAACACACGTCCTCCAGGGTGATAATTTGGTGACTTTACCACCGGGCCACCACCAAATAGGTTCCCAGGGCGAGCGATATTCGCCGAGGTAGGTTGTGAGTGAAGTAAAGCCAAAGGTGGTCAAGCTAAGACGTGACACGAGAATGTGAAAAACCCAACCCGGAGACCTGGGCCACATAGGTCCCGTTAGGCTCCCTGGATGGGGACCTCGGACTGATCGTATTCGACGGTTAGAGACACTGAATGATATGGCTGAGTGCCACGTGGCGTTCGGGCATCTCAGTTTCCACGCAACCATAGGTAGCTGGAGTTCTCAATTTTCTGTTCGACTCTGCTCTGAATTATGTTGTCTTTTTCCTACTGCTTCGTCCAAGTGGGCAGCCAAAAGACAGTAACTAAAACCTAAACACGAAAGTGCATGGTAAATGGTTGTACAAACTGAAAGCGTGTGCGATCACGGTCCCGTGCCCAGTTGAGGGAAGAAACTATTTATACTCTCAATCTAAGTCGAATATAGTTGTTCAGTTTTCCCGATTGTTCAAGGTTTATACCCCAAAAGGAATTGATTATGATAAATCCCCTCCCTCTCAGGTTTTCCATATTCGGCCTCCTTTGACGTTGTCGGTGGGTTAAGCAAATCATTCGAAACCACGATTGGTGTTCGTCAAGGGTGCTCTATTTCGTTATTCCTATTCAAATTCAGATGATGTGGAAACAAGGCATGAAGAAATGCATAGAACGATTAGGTTGAGTAGGTTTCTCCCATCCTCCAGGTTGGGCTCCGTAACGGGTTGGTTAGAGACACGGAAGGATATGGCAACTGACTGACAGCAGTGGCGTTCTTGTTATCATTTCTTATCAGACCAGAATGCTTGAAAAAGTATGTGTGCACTGTTAGGTTGCGCACTCTGTGCAATAACCGTGGAGGTTCACTTTCTTTACCTCCTTCCAGTTTGGCCCAAACCCTATCCACCTTGTACTTTCTCACTTGTTTTGTTTACATTGAGAACTTGAAAGCAATCCACCAAGTTCATTTCTGTTTTTCGCTGTATAATAATGATGATTTGTTGTTGTTTTGCATTGATGTTGTATATCCATCCCTCATAGCAAACATGAATTGTTTCTGTAGACCCTTTGATGTAGGTTTTCGCACTCGTGTTCTCTCTCTCTCCTTATTCAGTTTTACGACTAACGAATCACGTTTATTCGAACTGGTCACGGAGAAAGCTTTCGTGGTACGTTTCAATCTCCATGGTTTTGCGTATTATCTTTGTTTGATTGGCTTGTGTATTATTGTTTAATCAACTATCCGATATTGTAGACAATAAGTTATGGTTAACCACACGAGATCCATGGATGAAACGGACCTCAGTGGAAAACTTGTGCGTCCTTTCAGAAAGACCTTCCAATGGGGTCGAAACGTTGTCACCAACGCCTTTTGCTTTGTTTTTTTTTCTTGTTTCTTTCGTTGTGGCTAAGACAAGCTAATTTCCTCAGTAACGTGCATTTGAAATTAAAATTGATTGCAGCCTAGATTCTGGGCGTGTGCTCGTCTCCTCTTATCACTGGTAGCAATAGTTATCCCGGTACCCCTTCCTCCTACAGTGACCGTCTTCGGGAACACCAAAGTGGATTGCTTCCCTCTCCTCCAGTGCTCGCTCCTGGGAGGGACATGCGGAAAACAATACAAACATGATTAAAATGCGACAACAACTAGTCAGTTGTCATTTATCGTACGAATGGTTCCAAATGAGAATGGTAGTGTCTACCATGTTTGAAATAGGAGAGCAAACAAACTTTCAGTGACAGTTTATTTTACCAGCAAGGAATTAATTTATAGTCTATTGGTATGTGCGTTGTTGTC